GGAGAACATGTCTGCTCCTTGAGGCTCTGCTGAGCGTGGCAGTTCTGTGGTACCCCAGGACACACAGGAGCTTGAAGCAGCTTCTCTTCCACTGCTAGTTCAGTGTTCTCTGGTGATCTGGATTTCTCTCACTGCCAGGTAACCTCTGTGTGTGCCTGACCTGTTTGATTCCTGTTGTGCTGATACTGGGCAGGTTTACAGCATCCAGTTATCATTCAGCAAACAAGGAGAGAGCAGGAGCAGCAGAGCCCTGACGGGAGGTGGTGTTTTCTGCTTCCCTGGAGCCAAGGGCTGGGTTCCCAGCCTGCTCTCCTGATGCTGCACTGCCAGGCAGCCATCAGCTCCGCTATCATGGTTTGTCTCTAATGAAGTTCTGTGCCTGTTGTGTCTCACTTGGGGTGAGCTGGGGACTGTGCGTGAGCCAGATGCAGACGGGCAGCTTTGGCTATGGCTTCTTCATGTTCTAGGGCCAGTTGCCCGGTGCTGGAAGAAGCCCTGCAAGAGGCAAGCGTAATGCTGGGGCACAGGTGAGGGATGCAGCGCTTAGAGCCTCCTGTAGCCATGTTCAGTGATTCCCTGTGATCTTGTGTTCTTGTAAGCATTGACCCCGTCAGGGCTGGTCCACGGGGATCCACATTCAGTGAGTCTCATTCAGCAGAAGCAGGGCTAAAGTCTGAGTTCTTAGGGCTCCTGGACAGGGTTTCTGTTGAGTAACCTCTGCTTTGGGAGGTTACCTCAAACCTGCAAGAGACAATAAAGGCAGTTTTGTGTCTTCCATCTGGTCAGCCTTCAAATCAGCACCAAATCTGGGGAGTGCCATCCATATCGGAATGGCGAGGGCTGGAAATCTCTCTTCTCTCTCATGTAGGACCACGGAGCTCAACAACAGGCACATTAATAGTCAGATTGATGCTGACGTGAAATGGCAGAAGAGCACATCTCTGCATAGCTGGAAATGTCCATTCACACATGCACACCCTCAAATGCTCCAGGCAACCAAGCACTGCTGTCACGGCCTTGGGGGCTTTGCACTGAAACCAGAGATTGTAACTAGGTCTGATCTTTGGGAGATGCCCTGAGGACTCCTGGCGGAGGGAGGAGGCTGCCTGGCTTTGTGCTGTGATGGTTGAGACTTGACAGGGCAGATCTATGCAGTGCAATGAAAGGAAAAGGGGATGTCGAGACTCAGCGCTGTTACAGATTTACCTGCCTTGCTCTGGTATGATTTGCCATGCTATGGAGAGCTGATTGGTGGGCAGGAGACACTGAGTCTGTCTGCTTGGATTTCCCCTGCTCCTCTGTCTCGCACGCACACACGCTAACCCAGTGGCATGCGGAATGGCAGGGATGGATTAGCCAGAAGGAAGAGGCTGAGAGAGAGCTGTGACTGTGCCTTGCATGGAGCAAAGCATGTTGTCCATCAGCTTGGCACGGGGCAGCAGAGCAGTGAATCATCTGGCTCCAGTGCATGGGGATTCGTGGCTCCCAGCTCCGGCTGCCTGAAGCCCAAGCTCCATGCAGGCAGGGAGTGGTGAGGATGGCCATGGTGGTGCCCTTCAGCCCTGGTCTCATCTGCATCCTACGAGAGAGGCAGGATGTGACAGCACAGGCCAGCCCCCAGACAGCAAACTCCACGTGTACTCCCTTGGTCTGTGTTACTGCTTCCTTCCCTGGGGCCCTCTCCCAAGTGCCTGATACCTTCTACCTGGCACTCGCTCTCACTCAGCCATGCAGATAGGGATGGGGGTTAAATACTTGGTTTTCCCTCGTAAAACTTGAGGTTGGGTCGAGGCGAGAGGGAAGCAGAGCTCTGGGAGAGCCCCGCTTCCTGTGCAGCTCTGCCTCTCTCTGTGTTTAGGCAGGTCTTGCAGTTTCAACAGGAAAAAAACATGTTTTGATTCAAGTCACATGCGATGTGCACTGCGCTGCCTGCTCCCTGCGGTCTGTATGGGCGTGTGGCTCCTCAGCTGGGTAACGGACTGCAAACTTTGGGTGGCTCACGGGGAGAAAACGGTTTTGTGCTGAGCAGAGCGGTGTGGGGAGGAGTGGGCTCATGGGGCTGGTTTTGCACTGCCTTTGTGCAGGGGCACAGCTGGATTCGGGGTGAGAGGAGCCCTCAGCGCTGCGGTCTGCAGGCACAAGCGGGGAGCACCACAACCCCTTCGCAGTGTTTGCTCCTCTCACCCGATTTCAGCTTCATGAAAAGTGGGTGGGCCAGCTTGAAACAACCCAAAAGCCTGTGGTGCTTCACAAGACATGTGCTGCTGAGAGGAGAGGCGGGCTGGTTTGCGCTCCAGAATGCTGTGTTTGTTTTGCGAGCAAGGACGCTGCCAGCCCTGATGGTTAACTCGTGCAGAGAGGAGTTTCAGCGAGCGGAAGTGTGTGGATTTTAGGAACTGAGTTAGAAAAACAAAGAACATGTGTGTGGTATGTGCTGTGTGCTGTGAGCTCTGTGCTATGTGCTGTGCGCTCTGCGTTGGGCTTGGCATAAAAGTGAGCTCTGCCGCACCAAGTGCAAGAAGCCAAAAGCTTCCGGAGGCCTGGAAGCAGCATCTGTGGCTGAGCAGGGCCCCAGCACTGGCCCCTTCCTTGGGCGCTGCAGAGAGCAGTGGTGAAGCCATGGGCTGGTTGTGGAGCTGGGAGATGTTAGAGCTGGCAAAACACACCCAGGCAGTTGGCAGCACGGCTCCTGTGCTGGGAAGCATCTTTCAGGTGTCAGCGGGAGCATCCCGAAACAAGAGGTGCTTGTTTGGGTGCATGGCTCTGTGTGATGAGTGGCTTGGGATGCAGGGTGATGGGTGAGAACTGCTGCCTCCAGGAGAGCCAGGGCTGCCCTGCACTTGCACCTTGCAGGCAGGAGGGCTCATCCCATGGGAGAGGGAATGTGGTGGGGTTCAGGGCAGGGCGTTGTGCATAATGCAAACCCCCCCCCCCCCCAGTGTGTTCTCCAGGGGGTGTCACCGAGCTGCCGCTACAATAGCTGTCAAATAGCCAAATAAACTGTAAAGCTCTGATGAATGGTTTGTTCAAAACATAAAGGCATCGCTAATATGCTACAAGAGCCAATTAATACCGTTCATCTGGCAGCGGCACGTGCTGCATTGCATCTCGTTGTGCGCGTACAACACCCCGCTATCGGGTAATGACACTGATTTTGCACTGGCAGCCTCGGCAGTAAATAGATAAAGGACGTGAGATAAAGGACGCAGGGAAATGTGCAGCTAGAAGTTACAGTACCGGCAGCTGCTGGGTGCTTTGTACGTGTTTCTAAGGCCTGGTAATTACCCAGAATTAGGTGCCTCGGCTAACGAGGGGGCTTGTCTGGGTGCGGGAGCCAGCGGCACGCTCCAGCGCGGCCCCGCGCCGCACAATGGCAGCGGCAGCTGCAGGCAAGGGAAATTAAACCCTCCAGCGTGCAGATAAAACACCCTGACTTCCAAATGACAGGACATGGGAGGGGAGGGAGGGACGGGGATTATCACGGGACGCAACTTGTTATGATGAATAAATCAGGTTCTGGAAGCGTAGGGCTGGAGGCTGCTTCCTCCGCAGGCACAATGGGAGCTGGCTCCTGAGGGTAGCGCTGGAGAACAGCCATGGAGCAAAGCGCTGCTGGGGCCGCTGGGGCAGGGTGGTGGGTGCTCCTCCGTGCGTGTGGTTCCTGGGCACCTTCACAGCATGAACTGGGGCAAGGAGCCGTGTCAGGATGGACCCGGTGCCCTGAGGAGCCGGCTGCTGGGGTGAGCTGGGATGGAGGCTGCATCCAAATCAGGTCAGGCTCCGGAGGGGCTGAGTAGCAGCACGCCAGGGATCTGCATCCGTCAGCGAGCTGAATTCCTGCTCTGCTGAGGGCCCCCTCCTTATCGGCACGGATCCAGCGCGGCAGCTACAGCCGCTCCCTAGCACTCGGTGCTATCAGGGCTGTGCAGGGCGCCCGATAACCCCCCTCCATCTCCTGTGCCAGCAGCGAGACCTCTTGGTGCTCCCGCACCATGTATGGCCGCGAGCCATGCTGTCGGGTGCTGGGTGGCTGCCTGGGAGCAGCGCAGGGACACACTGCAGGAGGCAGAGCTCAACCAGATCCATGCTTCAGAGCCCCCTGCTTGCTCCCTTAAAGGAGATGCTCCTGCCAAACCCTGTCCTCCCAGCAAGGTGTGTGCTGCACGCAGCCAGCACCAGGACCAGAGCAGCCAGCCCTGCCTGTCCCCTCAGCAGGAGGAGAGAGGGCCAGTTAACAGGTACGGTGTGTGCTGGCAGGGCCCTTCCATTGCAGAGCAGCGGTGCCTGGTGGTGACCAGTCCCGGCAGAGAGGGTGCCCATCCCAAATGGGTCAGCGGCTTGGGGTGTGGAGACGTGAATCACAGCCTGGTCACAGTGCTGTTGTACCAGGCTGGCATCCCCTGGGGAAAGGTCCATGCCCTCTGGTGCCCCTGTGCAAGAGCAGTGTGTTGGTGCCGGTGAAGGGACAAGCTCAGCTCTGCTCCAGGTGAGTGTGAGGAGCCGAGGGGCAAGTGTGGCTGTGAGCTCATGTCCCATCAGGGCCAGTGGCCTCATTGTAGGAATGTGCTGTAATTGCTATGCTAACTGGGACAAATTAAAGTATGCTCTGGGTGAAGGGCACAGTATTGACGTTGATTGAGAGATCACAGCCCTGGTGTTGGCCCCATTGCCTGCACTGCAACCTTGAGACTGCACCGAGGAGCAGAGCCAGCGGTGCAGAGGTGCTTGAAAACACGCCACAGAACCCCACAGGACATGTCTGCCTGCTCCTACCCTTCCCCTCCTTTGTGCCTGTGAGCCACCATGTTCCCCAAGGCTGGGCACAGGGATGGCACCAGGTATCCTGGCCGGGCTCCTGGTGTTTCCAGGGCCAGCCTGGCTCCTTATCCCATGGCGTGGGCTGCAAGGGTTTGCCTGCAGTCCCCCGCCATGCACCCAGCCCCATCGTGGTACCCTCCAACAGCCGTCCCTGTGCTGAATCCTGCTTCCCTCTCTCACAGCAGCCATGGAGGCAGTGCTCATCTTCCTGTGCTCCCTGCTGGTGCCGGCGGCCGTGGCAGATGGTAGGTGCCAAGTGCTTCCCTCATGCTGGAGGTGGCAGGGGCATGTGAAGAAGCTGCAGGCATCTGGAGGACAATGGCCCCTCTGACCCAAGGGGTTGGAGCTGGGCATTGGGCAGCAGCCCTGTGGGGAGCAGGGTGCCTGCACTGGCTGGGGGGCTTTTGGGGCTGCAGGGGTTCAGCCAGGACAAGCATTCACCTCCCACCCCTTGTCTGCTTCTTTCAGTGGCCACCCAAGAGAAGGAGGAGGACCCGTTTAACTATGGTGAGCATCACTGTGCATGAGGATGGGTGTGCTGGCCAGTGTGATGGGGAGCAAAAGACTGTCCTATCCCTGAACCCAGCAGGAGCAAGCCCCTGTGTCTTCTCCCCCAGATTACCAGAGCCTGAGGATCGGGGGGCTGGTGTTTGCCGTGGTCCTGTTCACTGTGGGCATTCTCCTTATACTCAGTAAGTTGGGGACCAGGGGATGCTGGGCTTGCAGGCTGGGGCAGTGGGAGCCCTTATAGGGAGTGGCCATGGGGAAAGGCTTTGTTCTGTTCCCATTTTGGCCGTGCTCATGGTGTTTCTCTCTCCTTGCAGGCAGGAGATGCAGGTGCAGTTTCAACCAGAAGCCCAGGTGAGTGAGGGCAGCCTGGAAGGGCACATATTCCTTGGTGAACCTCTCTGCCCAGTGCTCAGCTCCTCCTGGCTCCCTCCCAGAGCTGGCAGGGTGGCTCTGTCCTCTGAGCATCCCTTTCGGGTGCCTGGTACCCAAACCTCTGCTGCAATGCTGCTGGGTGGCAGATCAATTCTGCACATTCCAGGGCTCCTTCCTCGTCATGCCCCTACACTGCTGGGCATCCCACCCCTAGGAAAGGGGTGCAGGTCCCGCCTCTCACTGCGCTCCTCTTCTTGCAGAGCTCCAGGGGACGAAGAGGCTCAGGCTGAGAACCTGATCACCTCAAACGGTAAGGCCGCCCGTCCTGTGCATGCTCTGCTGCAGCTGCACTGCACCCATGCCCTCAGAGCACCCAAACCACTCTGCTCTTCCCTTTGCAGCAACGGGAGCACCGAAGGCGGACAACTGAGCAGAGCCATGCGGTGAGTCCTGGCCCTGGGCAGCCTGTGTGCGGTGGCACTGGGGCTGTCACTGCCTCGATGCGGGGAAGGAAGGGAGGAGCAGCTGGGGCTCAGCACACCCCAGGCAAAGCCCCAGGCAGCCCAGCAGGAAAGGGAAACATCTGCCCAGGTTTTCCTTTGCATTGCACTTCCTTCCCCTGTGCTCCTCCACCCAAAGCGGGTTTATTTTTAGGGCCTCTGGAGAGAGCTGAGTGCGAGTCCCTGGGGCATCTCGCTCCTTGATGCATCAAGGCTCCCCCAAGCCTGCAGCAGGGCAGCCTGGAGCCGGCGCTGGTGGAAGCATGGTTTGTGCTGCTGGTGCTGCTCCCAGCCTGACTCACTGCTCTCCTTCCCACGCAGACCCAGAGACCCGAGGACAGATGCTTGGACTGCAGATGCCAGTGGCCTGCGAGGAAACTGAAACCACAGCAGCAGGTCCCTCTAAGGGGATGCGAAGCTGCTGTGTCTGTGTTACCCTCTGTACTTCAGCACCGGTTCTCTGTTTACTAACCCGACTAAACTCACCGTCCTCTCTGCCTCCAGTGGTGTGTAATGTTGATGTGAGATGATCATGACCTCTAGGGCTAGTCGTTGCTGATGTTGTAATAGTGACTTTCTCTTCACCTTTCTCGTGCTGTGCGTGTGGCTCGGGCTGTGTAGGACTGGCAGGCGCTGCCCAAGGGGAGCCCTGTGTCCCCCTGCCCATAGCTGGGGGTGCTTGGTGCAGCCCGCACAGTGCTGTCTGTGCCAGGCAGCACTCGGGGTTCACCCCGCTGGCTCTGGGCAGGGCTTGGGGACCAGTCCTGCAGTGGGTCAGGGTCCTGCCCAGCGAGGCTCTGGACCACGCGCTGCTGTTTCAGCAATAACCCTCCGGCCCCAAGGCAGCCGCAGTGGAGTCAGGCAGGGACATCCCACAGCTCCCCTGGGCTCTCCCTGAAGGGAGCTCCCCTGTCTCTGCTTGGCACTCCTCGTTTCTGTCCCCGGCTGAAGCCAAGCCATCAGTGTGGGACACTGCTCTAAGCGTGAGGAAGCGCTGTGGTGGCAGAGAAGCCCGTGGCGTCCCCCCGCCAGCACGGTGACACTGTGAAAGAGGGCGGCTGCTCAGCGATGACCCTGCTACCAGCACAACCCAGCTCCCTGCCAGCGCCCTGCCTGTCCACCCGACGGAGCTGGGCAGGTTAAACAGTCTCTGAGGGCTAAAGAGAAACACAGACTGAAATCAGGAGCCTGCTCTTGTCTGTCTCCGGCAGGGAAGGGGCAGCCGTGCTTCCTCCAGGTGCTCCCTGCCCTTCCTGATGCCTTGTCACTGTGTGCCATGGCCCAGGACATGGCCACCCGTGTCAGTGCTGCGTGTCGTCCTGTGGCAGTTATGTGTTGTCATCACTCTGATGCCGACAGCCCCTTCTCCCCATGGAGCAAGCATCAGTGGGCGATGCTCAGGGGCTTTGCATGCCTGAGGTTGCACAGTGGGGATGGAGGGGCTGAGCCATTGTCACCTTGTGTCTGCTTGAGGGTCCCAGCAGGCGAATCTGTGTCAGGCCCCTTCCCCAAGCCCATGGGCATGGAAATCACAGCCTCAGCTGTGGCTGGGCACTGCTGGCTTGGCTGTGGGTGCTTGCCAAGCAGGGGCAGCCTGGGTATCAGTGCTTTCCATGCGCCAGGAAGGGGTTCTTGGCTGCCAAGATGGTTTTGAGAGGGGTTTCTGCTGTGCCCACCCCACTGCGGTGGCCCTGCCTGCAGGGTGGGCTGTCCCTTCCCTTGCTCCTGGCCACTGCAGAGTCCTGCCTCTGTGCAGCCTCGGGCAGGGCAGAGCAGAGCCCGCGCAGCCCAGCCCTGTCAGCAGTGCCCGTGCTGTCTGTGGTGTGCCGTCGGTGTTAACACGGAACAAAGCAATCCCTGTGGTGTGTAGAAATGGCAAAATCCTGACTGTGTACAATAAATCGAGCTATTGTGTTTCCTTTTAAATAGGCGAGTGTGCTGCTGGGGTGAAGGGCTGGGGTGCTCAGTGCCGTGACCCAGGGGTGGGGAAGGGAATAAATACCCTTTCTATCGGTGCCTGGCTGCGGCGTCTCAAGGGCTCTGCTGTTCTCCAGGGGAGCAGGGCAGGGGCTGAGGGTCCGGCCCTGTGGAGAGCGGGTGGGCAGCTTCCCTTTGTGCTGGGCAGAGGGAGCAGTGGGAGCGGAGAGGGCTTTGTGCTAGCAGCGGCAGGCTGGCTGCTCCTTCCTGCAGCCAGGGACCGTGTGATGGGAGCGCATGAGCCCCACAGAGCTGCCTTGTCCCTCGGCCTTCGGGAGCTTCTGGCTGCCGGACTGCAGATCCAGGGGGATGCTGAGCACTGCTTGGGCTCTGGAACACGAGGGCTGCTCGCACGGCCCCACACATCACCCTCCTGGGGGTTGGCTTCACCCCATGGTGCCGGAGCTGAGGTGTTGTCTGGGCGCGTGATTCCTGCTCACTGATGGTGAGATTAGAGCGAACCAGATTGAACAGCCCACCTGGCAGTTGGCCTCGCTGCCAGGGCTGGCACAGCCCCGAGGGGCGCAGCATCCTGGTACCCACTGCTGCGCAGGGATGCAGCACACTGCGCTGGGGTGCTAAGGGCACCCGGGGTGGCTCAGATGCTGTGCTGGGAGGCATTGACCTGGCTGTCACAGGGACCTTCAATGCCAGGCTGCAGGGACAGGGTGTGCTGCCCACTTCTCCCTAGCAAAAGGCAGGCACAGCCCGTACCTGTGCCCATCCCTCTGCTCTCCACAGCCGGAGGTGAAGCGGGCTCCTGATGTTCCGAAGGCAATGGAAGGTGTGTTTCGATGGGGACACCCATGGCTCCAGGGTGCCCGGTCCTCCCACTGCTGGCCCTCCCCTCCCGGGCCTCCTTCCCAAAGGCGGGCAGGAGCCCTGTGCCTCCCCTCGTGACTGTGATAAACATTACACCGAGGCCATTAATGTTTAATGAGGTTTGCCTCCCAATTAATGTGCTTTCCCGTGGGCGCCCACTCGCAGAGCGAGGCACCCGCTGGACGCACGACACGATGGGTGACGGTAAGAGAGCTGCAGGGAGCACCCACCCAAAGGGCTGCCATGGGAGGGGAGATGCCTTTACTGGGGCATCTCTGCACAGGGAGCAGGGCTGGTGCCTCCTGCCATGCAGAAGCCTGCGCAGGGGAAGCCGCTGTGGGGGATTCAAGGGAGACACAGGGATGAATCCCTGGAGCTCGGAAGCCAACTGGCACATCAGTGCTGGCTGGTGTTCGGATTCTCAGGGGGATTTCTCCTTCCACTGGCTCCTGGCAGAGGGATGCGCACTCAGGTAAGGTGGCTCCAGCGGTGGCACGCAGCCATTGGATGGCTGGCATGGTGTGGGGGCTTCTTGTAAATGCATCCTGTGGATGGGCTTTAAACTCCCTGGGGTGAAACCCAGGAATCTGGGACTCCTTCACTGGCCCAGCTGGACCTTGAGGAAGTTGGAAAGCTCTTGCTTGCACTCCTCACCTTTCCCATGTCACCTCCCCATCACGGGCCCAGCGCCCAGCCCTGGCTCTCACTGGGGTTTCTCCTCTTTTCCAGAGCAAGTCCCCGAGCAGGGCCTGGACAGGTTCAGCTACGGTGAGTGCACGGCCCGTGCAGGGCAGCCCATTCCCACCCTGCCCATGGGCTCAACCCCAACTGATGCCTGCTCCCTTTCTCCCCAGACTATGAGAGCATCCGCAACGGGGGGCTCATCTTTGCCATCGTGGCTTTTGTCATGGGGCTCCTCATCATCCTCAGTAAGTGCCTCGGGTGGGCTGGGCTCCCCTTGGCTCTGACCCCATCTCCCTCCTCACCCTGTGCCAGGTGCAGGAGGGGCAGGGGGCCATGGGTCCTGCCCCACCATGGAGGGGACGGCATTGCCTGCAGCCTGGGGAATTCCAGCCAGGCAAGCTCCCAGCAGAACACGAGTTGGGAAGGAGAGCCCATAAAGATTGAGCGTTTCCCTGCCAGCGCCGGGGCTTCACAGGGAAGGTCACCCATTAAAAATAGCAGGGCAAGCTCTGACATTTCCACAGCGAGACGCCAGCGTTCCCAGAGCCCTCAGACCTTGGCAGCTCCCAGAGAGACCTGATGCCGAGCGCAGCCCCACGCACAGGCAGTGCCTGCCTCACCGCGCGGGGCAGGGGCAGCAGCAGCATCGCAGCCGCAGCACTGACGTGGCTCAGTGGTTTGGGGGAGAAAGATAAGGAAACCACCAGCGTTTGCTATCGTGGCTGGCAGCGTGGGGCGAAAGAGATCCGAGAGAGCTCTTGTGGCTGGGGCTTTGCAGTGCAGGGCAGCACAGGGGGGTCCACGTCTCCCTGCCAGCCCTGAAGGGAGATGGGTGGGCTCAGGGCATCCTGCAGAGCCAAACCCGGTGGTCCCCAGCAAGGGGACAAGCCCTGAGCAGGACTTGCTTCACTGGAGTGCAGCACCATGGGTGAGATGGGATGGGGGGGAAGGCTCCAGGCACAAGAGGTCTCAGTTGTGCCTCTTGCCCCCAGGCCAGCGGCTTCACTGCGGAGGGAAGAAGAAGAGGAGGTGGGTATTGCATGGCTTCAAGGCAGCATCATCTCTCCTCCCTGTCCTAGTCTTACCTGCTGAAAGGGCTGGGGTCTCTGCTCCTCCTCCCTCCCACCTCGGCCGTGTTGCCCAGTGTAACACACCTCCCCTTGCTATTTGCTCCACAGGCAAGGGAACGAGGAAGAGCTGTAGCTGCAGGTAGGTTGCAGGAGGATGCACCCCGCTGACAGCTGAGCTCCCTGGGTCTGCTTGTGCTGGGCAGCGATGGTTGGAGGCCTCTGTGCTGCGTAACCTGCCTGCTCTGTCTGGTTTCAGAGCTGCAGTGCCACCGTGGACGCAGAGCTTCATCCAAAGCAGGAAAGTCCTTGCCAAGGGCCACTCCTTACCCCGCTCCAGTGGATCCATTACCCTGCTCACCCCGGACGGGGCTGGAACGCAAATTGCCCTCGTGCTTTCCCCTCTGTTAGATGCAGCGCGTTTCTTGGCTAATAAAGTGCAAGCTGAGCGAGGTTAAACTTTGCGCCTGAGGCATTTCAATGGGCTCTCTCCTGGCCCCGCACCAGTGACTTTTCTGCCCTGCAGACATCTTCCAACACAGTCCCAGGAGCCGTTCCTGCCGGCTTCTGCGCACACATGGAGCAGCAGAATGGATGACTCCATTCTGGGTTTGCAGAGTGGGGGACATTCCTGCTTCCAGCCGTCCCTGCTGCTTAGAAGGATCTCCCCTCTTGCTAGCATGAGCGCTGGCTGTGGGTACCCAAATTATGCGGCACGTGCTTCCCTTGGGATGCACAGTGAGGGCTGTGCAGGCTGTGGACCACGTTGGATGTAGAAGCAGGCACGTGTGGGGCTGCTTGTGCACTTGTTTTCTTGGAGTGCTCGATCTTGGCATCCTTTGTGGGCAAGAATAGGGCTGAGATGGTGCATCCAGCCTGGGTTCCTGCTGCAGGAGGAGGTGGTGTCACAGCCTTCTGCAAGCCCGGTCACCCTGGCGCTGCTGGTGGACTTGAAGCCAGCTCGCCTGGTCCATTTGGGCTTTGATTGAGGTCAGACATTGACAGTAAAACAGGATTAACTGGGGAGAGGTTATTAGACCAAATCCATGCAATTTGTCTAATCTGAGGTGCTTATTTAACACCCTAAGGAGATTATCTCGAAATATGATTTTGACTTGACACTGACCCACTCATGAAGACTTGTTGCAGCTTTGCACAGACCTTTGGTGGGGGGAGAAAAGTGCCTGTCTAACAGCACACACCAGTGAGGTGTGCTGTCTGTGGCTGTGTCCTCTAAAGAAGGAGCCAGGGAAGCAGGCGCCATGGGGAATGAGCCCATCCTCAGCAGGGTCTCACCACCCTGCAGCCCAGGGCTCCCCGTCTTCCCCAGGGCACAGGGATGCCCTTCAGGCTGTGCACCCTGGCACCAGCCCCCCAAGAACCCCGCAGGCAGAGCCCCGTGTCCAAGGGAGGAGATTAAGGGGTGGACAAGCCGTGTCTGGCTCCCTGCACAAGAGATCTCTGTCTCGGCACCAGATGGCATTAATAGCATTATTCTGCAAGGCTTGTGGACACCCACATGTGCACACACGCACAGCCCCTCGCACCCCTGGCTGGGGCTGGGGCACTGTGCCATGGGCTGGGGACACGGGCAGCGTGTGCAGTGGCACAGCAGGACAGCGCCAGCACCTCAACACTTGCTCTGGGGGTTGCATTTGGAGGCCAGGCTGTCACTTGAGCTAATTTTAGAGCAGCCTTTGCTGTGTGCCCCTCCAGGATGGAGCCAGGGAACCACAGCAGGGGAAAGGCATAAGCAAATTCTATGGTGCATGGGAAATGTGGCCTCCCTGTGCCAGGGGCAGGGGTGCTGCCAGCAGCACAGGGGTGTGAGCCAGCACAGGGCTCCCTGCCCCTCTCCCTGTTTCCTGTGCTTTGGACATTGAGCCCAGGAGTGGGAAGCAGGGAAGACACAGGGAAAGGCCACCCTGTGTCTGCTTGGCTGCAAGGACCTGGGCAAGGAGGGTCATGGGCCCTATCTGAGGGTGCCCCATGGGACAAGCCCCTGTGCCCGCAGCCCCATGGGTCAGCTGGGAGCCATGGCTTCATGGAGGTGTTCATCTTCTCCCCCAAACCAGGCAATCTTGGAGGATTTCTCTCACAGTCCCTTGAGCCTTTAATCTTCTCAAAGTAAATCTTTTCTGTGACACAAAGGGGATTGGGTCAATAATATGGTGCAGAACTGGAGTGTCCTTTTCCTCTGGGAAGAATTCCAGTTCTGAACAGCTTCCCTTTGGCACTGGCTATTCCCCGCTTGCTTTGCCAGTCTCTGGACAGACAGGTGCAAGGGAGAGGGGCTCTGGCTGGCTGTGCCTTGGCCTTTCTTGTGCTTAATCCATGACTGAACAGGAGGAGATGAGGAACAGGAGGAGCAGGGAGGCCGCTGGAGCCCGCCAGCGCTGCTCCGCCATCTCCACGATGCCAGGGATGCGTTTGGCCCCAGAGGAAACGTGAATGCAAAATGTCTCCTCATTAGTTAAAACAGGAGAGCAGCAAATGGTGACTAATGGAGCCAAAGAGGAACACTTGACGACGTGGAGAGATGGGGCCGGGCTGGCGGGGAGCCAGCCACACGCCTCCTTCTCCCTTTGTTCTGCTCCCGAAAAGGCAGCGCATCCATCAGCAGCCACGTCTGCCAAAACAGCAGCGCTCCGCGCTCCTCAATTACCCTCGCAGCCCGAGTAAATAACGCTTGAGCCCTCATTTCCATGTCGCACACGCCCCAGAGCGGCGGCTGTTAGGCACTGAGTGTTCACACTGAGGTAGATGGACGGCCGCAGTGACGCCGTGTGAGCGCATCCCTCGGTGGCCGCGGGATGAAGGCTCCGAGAGCAGCCGAGTCGCGGCCCGCTCCGCACTACCGCGCTGCACCACTGGAGGGAAGCACAGATCCAGCTTCTCGCCTGGGAGCAGCTTTTCCCGGGAAGCGGAGCGCGGCGGGTCCCGCAGCATCCCGGCTGCCGGTCCTGCTGCTGCCGCCTCGGGAGGCCCCGGCCCTGCTGCTGCCGCCTCGGGAGGCCCCGGCCCTGGGGGGTCCCTTATGGGAACCCTTGAAGCTGCTCGAACCCAGGGGATTTAAGTGGGATCGTGTTTTGGGGCACATCAACCTGTTGGCATCTGCCTGGCCGGGGGCTGCCAGCCCCCTTCACCTGGGTACCAGCCCCCTGCCACCTCCAGGACATTTATCCTCCCACTGCCCCATGTGGCAACCGGTTCCTTCTGCTACTGGGGAAACTGAGGCACAGATGCGGGAAGGCTGCGACATGTCCACAGGCGAGCTAGGGCACCTTACTCCTGTCACCGCCCGGGCAGCACCCGTACAGGGCCAGATTTGGGGCTGCTGCCCCTTGGCTGGGCTGAGAAGGGTGCAGGAATGGGATGGAACTGGTCTGTGTTGGTGTTGCTGGGGGTGACTGTGTCCAGGGAGACGGGCGCCGAAGGGAACAGCCCTTTCACAGCCAGGTGTGCCTGGTGGTGTGATAATTGCTGAGCCCAGCTGCAGCCCAGCCTGCAATTACCACCTTCTTCTTCCCCCACCTTCGAGTGCTGGGCTGCAGAAGTGGCTCTGTGGAGTTTGGGATTGTTATGGAGGATATCTCTTGTGCTGTGCCCTCTGTGGAGCAGGGGACTTGATCAGGGGTCATGGGAGGATGGATCTGCTTCCTGCAAGGTCCTGTTGGGTGAAGCTTTGGATGTGTGGGAAGCGCCTTGTGGCAATCGGCGCCGCAGGGTAAGTAGCCCTCTTGTTTTAATGACTGCTTCCTCCGGGGGATTTGTCTGGGAGGGTGGCTGAGGACATGGGGTTAGGACCGGTGGGAGGCCAGGCATGCACTGGCTGGAGGGATGCTGGGGTGAGAGCTGTTCCCCACAGCGCTGTGTGCCCCTCTGCAGTGCCTCTGTGCTGGCACATAGCAAAGCCTTGGCCTGCAAGTGATCATAGTAGCTGAGGGGTGCCTCTCAGGCCCCTCCTTTGGCTGCTCTCCCCAGGGACCTGCTGTGTGCTTGTATGGAAAGTGGTTTTTGCACATTGGTGAAAGAGCTATCCTTAGGGAAAGCATCTGGCTGGCAAACAGGGTATTGTGAGCATGGGGCGCCCCTGCAACCCCAGAACTCTGGGGAGTCCTGGATCCGAGGGTAAATGGTGCCTGGAGCCAAACCGAATGCAGGGAGGGGGAAGGTGAAAGGAGGCTGGCTGGGTCAAGGGGGTTGTGGCAGCACTCGACCTCTCCCCCTCTGTCCTTGGGCACGGCTTTTGCGGGAAGGACCCTGCTATGCATGCTGAAGGGCAGGGAGGCCCTTCTCTCCATGGGGGAAGCCTGTTGGGGCTCAGGGCTGCACACGTTTGTGTAGCTGGAGTTTCGCCTGTGTATATTGTAGTGTTTGGGCCAGGGCACGAATTCCTTAGTAGCAGCTTCCCCTCTGCAGCGAGGCTTGCTGCTGCTCTGGTGGGTTGCTTGCTCGCTGTTAGCGGGTCAGTGAGACGCGCATCTCCCAGCGTTAGGGCTGCCCTTGCTTTCTGGGAGCCACAAGTGCAACTCATTGCTGCCTAAATAATTAACGTGATGGCTTTCAGCCCTTCCCAATCAGAGCCGCACGAAGCCGGGCGCCCCCCAGCCTGTGCACGGGGTCGCTCACGCAAAGGCGATGGGCAAACGCTTCCAGTGCCTATTCAAATACCGGGAGGCTGATGGCCCTAAATGGTCCCCAGGAAGCGCCTGGCCGCCTGCCCTCTGCTGCCGGACCCGCTTGTGCTTCCGGGCTGAACAGTCAATGGAGGGGCGAATGGGGCTGTGATGGGGGGCACAAGCAGCTCGGGCGTGCCGTGGCTCTCTGAGCGTGACCTGGGGCTGGTGGTTCAGCCTGACGGCATTTGGTTGCCTCTCTTGGTGCTGCTTCTCCTCTCGCCAGCTGATGCTGTCCTGTCCTGATGAAGGAGCTTTTGGCAGGGGGAGGTTAGTGCTCTCGGTAGAGGCTGATGCTCTGAGCTAGGGCTGATGAGGAAGCTCACAGGAGATGCTGAGCAGCCAAGGGAGCTAAAAATGAGCTGGTGAGTAGCGTTTACTCCCCTGCACATGTGCCTCCAACAGATCTGTGAGGCTCTGCGGGCGCTGTGCCAGTGAGTGCCCCGCCAGCCCCCGCACCCCGCTTTCATTCACTCCCGAGTGTAGGAGGGTAGAACTGCACCTGAGCCCAACACACAGCGTGCTGGGGAGTGAAATGCTGTAGCAGTTTTGGTGGCAGGAAGATCCCTGCTAGCAGCCTGGCCTGTGCTGCCATGCTGCAGCAGCTGCTGGGGAGGAAAGGGGGCAGATGCCTGGCATGTGCCTGGGGCTCCCCAGAGCCCAGGATCTGCTTGTTGCCTTGGGTATGCGCCTGAATACCTATTTCCTTGCTATGTTTCGGCTAACATCTGTATATGGATGTAGGTGGCGATTGAAATGCACCTCAGTTCCTAGAGGGAT